TTCCAAATACCAAGAGAAATTAATGTTGTAATTGAAACAAAACAAAAATACCCCAGTCAAAATTTTCCAATGAAAGACATCAAAAGCAAACCTGTCAAGTTCAGAGACCTAAAATAACTTTCTAATGCTCCTAACATTTTGACACACAATGAAGAATAATCAGGTAGCTGTGTAAAGTCTCTGATTTGAGGGAAAAAAAAGGGAGTAATAGGGGAAAAACAGAGTAATCGGGGAAAAATCAACTTTAATTGAAACTTTAATTAACACAGGAGGAAAAATACCAGGACGCCATAAAAATGTACAGATTATAAAACTCATAATAAAAAGCGTAAGAGAAATGAAGCCACAAAAGTTTAATCAAGCAACTTTCGCACAGAAAGTGTGCGATAAAGGACAAGAAAAAAAATTGTTTTAAGGGAGAAAATTTCCAGGAGTATAATATCTAATTAAAGTTACAGACAACTCTCCACCCAAAATAAGTAAACTTTATATATATATATAAACATTTATGTACATATATGTGTGTGTAAAGAAAATTTGAGAGTCGAGGAATATAAGTTGCCAGATGTAAAGAAGACACTCAGTGTACATTCCTATGTCACATGGTATTACCATATTTTAAAATACTTGGTACAAGAGAAGAGTTTGGAAGCACCACACCAAAAGACTGCATAAACTGACATTGGAGAGATGAGAAAGGGCTGTAAAAAGTTATTATATATTATCTAGAAATACCTAAAACCTGCCACTAAAGTTTAAAAAGTATTTGTCTCAGGAAAGAGAAAAACAGGGGTGCAAAAGTTGTGTTAAAAATCATGCCTTTAGTGGGGCTTGAGGGCATGATAAAGGTCCAATCATTTTGGGCCAACACAACACAACACTGATGGGTAATATTCTGGGAAAATCTCGCCTGTCTATGACAAGAATGTATGAGTTGCCTTTAATAAGTCACAGAGAAGTAGTTGATATTTTAGCATTTATATTTCAAGTTCTTAACACTAAAATACAGAAATGCTTGAAAATATTAACTTGTATATTGGAAAAGCCACTGTGAACTTTTAAATTATAAACTAACATAGCAAAATAAACAGATAATTTTGGCTAGAAGCAGAAATATAATGAAATCTCAAGAAAGAAAAAGAGGGTGAGGAAATAATGGAGAACAGATAGTAAAATAGGAAGAACATATCTGGAAGTCTTGATTAAATTTAGAGCATACCAGAAGGCATCCCAAGTCTTAAACTTAAATGACCTGAAATTAGTAGCACACCTAGAAAATCTTTCTTAAGGATATATACATATTTCAGAAAGATACTACCTTAGGATTGACTCACAATTTTCTATATTTCAAATACAATAACCAGCATACAATTCTTAAGGAAAAAACACATCATGAACCAGCAAAAACAGTCCCCCTGCCAAAAGGTCAGAAGCTAGAATTTTTTTGTTTTAATAAGGAATAGACCATAATTTTTATTGCTATTCTATGTCAGTTTCATGTAACTATGTTATTTTTCACTAGACTTCGGCAAATTACTGTCACCTATATAGCCTTAACATAATTTCTTTTTTCCTTTTTTATTAATTTTATTGAATCACCATGAGATCGTTATAAGCTGTCATGTTTGGGTTACAATCACACAAGATCAAACACCCATCCCTCCACCAGTCAGAAGCTAGAATTTAAAGTCAGAGAGAAAAAGTTATCTACGAATGTCACAAATGTTAAACAGATGGCAATTAAAAATAGCAAAAATAGACATAGATGAGCCATTTCTTTACACTAACTCAACAATTCAAGAATCACAAGGGACCAGAACAGTAAAAACAATTTCACACAGGGTGCTGGGACATGGCTCAGTGGCTAAAATACCTGACTGACAACTTTAAGGCCATGGGTTTGATTATTGGTGACAGTGAGCAGCAAGTGCAAATCTCACAGCTTTGCAATTTATGCCTGGTTGATCTTCTGTCTGTGATCTGAGCTAATGGTGCACTGCAGCCAAATGTGAGTATGGCCACTTAAGGTTTGTGAAGGCCCCCAGCAAGCATCAAAACCAAATAAATGGCTGGGTGCTACATAGATTTGTGACTTCCCTAGTGGGAGTAGGGAGACATCAGTCACAGCAATATACATCATCATCCAAAGGAGAAGTAAAGGGCAGCAAAAGTGTTCCACACAAAAATATCAAGAATAGCAGAAAATTTCACAAAAACCCAGACAGTGGAACATTTAATTAAAACACCAAAAAACCTAAAATGCTTAGTATTAACTTAGTAACTCTGGAGCAATAGCACAGAGGATAAGGCGTTTGCTGACCTAGGTTCGATTCCTCCACCCCTCTCAGAGAGCCTGGCAAGCTACCGAGAGTATCTCGCCTGCATACGTAAGCCTGGCAAGCTACCCATGACGTATTCGATATGCCAAACACAGTAACAAGTGTCACAATGGAGATGTTACTGGGCCTACTTGAGAAAAATCGATGAACAATGGGGGGATAGTGACAGTGACAGTGCGGAACAGTCGAGGATGAACGTGAAACAAAAACATCATAAAGCAAGTAAAAATTTAGACACCAGCAGATCTGTACTAAGGAACACTTATTGAGTGAACTTAAGCCAAAGAGAAAAGATTCTCAAGGAATAGTCAGAATGCATGAAGGAACCAGACCCGAGAGAGAGTACAGCGGGGTAAAGTGCTTGCCTAACATGTGGCCCGCAGAACACTGCCAGGAGTGATCCCTGAATACAAACACTTAAGCACTGCCAGGTGTGTCCCCCCTCCCCACTTCCCCCCTCCCTCTAAAAGGCTGTATGAAAAATGAAGTATCAAGTGGTAAACATACAGGAATATGTAACTAACTCAGCAGTGCTGAAGAGAGCTGTCCAATAGGTGTACACACCCAATTAAAAATTTTATAAAAGTTCATTATGAGTTTTACCAAAGTAAAACAAGATGAAATTTGTAAAGGAAACATGTTAGTGACAATGAAGATGATATACTATACACTATTTTAATATTGTCTCAGAAATCTGGTGTTTGACATTTAATGAACGTGAGAATTGGAACGCTAAATTGTCATCAATCTTCATTTATATAAAAGTAGGTTGGGGCACAGGATGTATCTCAGTGGTAAAGTGTATGCCTTGCATGCTTGGAACCTAGGTTTGATCCTTTGCAAGGCAAACATATACACAAGAAAGTTAGCTGATAACAAGTTTATATAGAGATTATCCCACATATGATTGAAAGTATTCCAAGAAATGAATCAAGTGCCAATTTTCATATTCAAATAAGCACTATGTACATGTGAAAATTTAATTTCTTAAAGCCATTAGTCACATTTCAAGTATGTAACAGTTACAAGTAGTTTGAGGCAACTGTATTGGCTAGCAGTGGTACAGCATCTTTCTCCCTGAATTGAAATTACAAATCAATTTAGTAAATGGCAGAAAGGGAATGAAATGGGGATAAGATTTTTATCCAGGCACAGGGACTTTAGTTTTTATCCCACCTGACATGGTTATTGCACTACTGAACACAATAAGCTCTAGGCAATGACACAAAATAAGATCACGGGGCAAAACATTTAAGAAGTACAAGGAAGAAAAAAAAAGTACTGATTTCATGGGCCGGTGAGACAGTAGTACAGCGGGAAAGGCATCTGCCTCGCATATGGCAGACCCATATGGTCCCCAGAGACAGCCAGGAGTGATCCTTGTGTCGCAGAGCCAGGAATAACCCCTAAGCATGGACTAGTGTGGCCCTCAAACAAAAACAAACCAACAAAAAACGTATTAACTTGACTTGGTAGAGTACCCTAAAGGGCCTGTTACAGAATTAAGTAAGACCAACACAATAAAGAGTAATTTAAATGTTTGACTCTCGACCTAAAGAGTAACCTCACCTCCGTGATTATCTTTACAAGCACCTGGACAAGAAGGAAATCCAGGGATGGCATTGGTTTCACTTAACACGGCACGAACAGATGCAAAAAAAAAAAAAGTGTAATTTTACTAAAACGTTTTTAAAACTCACAAACCCTGTCTCAAACATTCTGAATTCCGAGTTGAGGAGAAAAAAAAAACATCAATTTCAGCAAAACCACGTAGTTCGCATTTGTTCTCTTGACTTTTGTCTTTTTTTTCTTTTTTGGAGGGGGTCGGGGGAGATGGTCACAGCTGGTCACCTGGTGGCGTGCTCTGGGGGTAGCTCAGCCTGTGCGGAGCTTGGGGGGCTGGGAGATGGGGGCAGGCACATGACAGCACTTGAGAAACAAAAGCCTCAAAATCGGAGACCAAAGAAACTTGGACGTCACATACACACACACACACACACACACACCTTGAGGAGCACTGACACCGGTCGCAGCAACAGCACGCGGCGCCCGGGAATTTCTCTGAGGAGGCTGCCCCGCCGGCTCCCTTCCCCGAACCCCCCTCCAGGGTTCCAGAGACGCTCGCGGAACGCACCGATAGTCCCGGCAGCCCGCACCACGCCGCACGCCGGCCTCGGAAAGCTTGTTGCGGGTCCGAATTCGCACCGGGAGCTCTTCTCTCTCCCCGAGGCGCATCTCCGGCTCTCGGCTGACGAAACGGTCACCAGGATGCTCAGCGGGAGGCTCCAAACGCCCCGCGTCTCCCTCACGGCAGAGCCGTCACGCGGCGTCCCGCAGCTCCTCCCGGGTGCAGTCGCCACCCCCCACCCCCCTGGTGTGCGCTCCGCGGGGAGGCTCGCAAAGCAGCCAGAGGGAAAAAGCTGCCCCTTAGGTCCTGGCCTCCGTGGCCAGGACAAGCCTGTCCACCCCCCCGCCCCCCACACACAACCCCCCTCCACCCGACCACCCACCACTCAGTTTCTCATTCCCAGTTGCCTCGTCCAACCCGTCAGGGCTCGATCCGCGGATGCTCCTGGCCTTCCCTCAGACCCCGACACTAGCGATTACCAAAACCAAAACGAAACAAAAAAATCCCAAGGAACAAACAACGCCTGCACCTACCAGGGCAGAGCGAGGACCGAGCGACCGCGGGAATCACTTCACAGGACGCCGTCGCCGCGTAGCCCTCGGGGCTTCACCTGCTGCAGCCCAGCCTACACGACCGCTCCCGGCAGGCTCCGCGCGCGCACGGCCTATTCCCCACCCCCTCGGCCCCACCCTCCGCCCGCACGTGACCTCCCTTGGCTCCACCGACGCCCACTTCCGTTCCTCCACTTTCCCTTAGGAAGGAGGCGGGGTCGGGGGGTGGTGGAAGAGTAGCGACTTCCTCCTCCTCCTCCTCCTCTTCCTCCTCCTCCTCGCCCCGGCCCCGCCCCTCTAACCCACGCTACAACGTCTTCCGGGTCGCGGGCGCCTCGGCGCCTTCTGGGAAACCATCTCATTTCCTCCCCTCCCCCTCCTCCCGTCTTCCACCAACCAGCCTCCCGTCAGAAAGGGACATGCGCAGTGGCGGCCTCCCGTCTCTTCTACCCGAGCCCCCCCCTCCCCCCCCCAGCAGAGAGACCCCAGCAGCAGCAGCAGCTGATGATGAAGAGAGAGGCAGTGGCCGAGGGGGGGGCACCTTTTATTTCTATTTTTAAAGAGACAGGACACTCATTTTACCCCACTTCAACCTTGAATTGAGGGGGGGTGGGGGGAAGGCGGCCGAGTTCCTTCCCCCACCCTCCAGCCCTGAGCCCCGAGCGAGGGATCGAGCCTGAGCCGAGAAGGAGACGGAGTTTCTTCTTCGGGAAAAAAAAAAATCTCCCCTCCACGACTCCTACCCCCTCGCCCGGCCACTCGCCTCGCTCCCGAAGCCCCTCCACCCTCCTCCTCGGTGGCCGTGAGAGCAGAGAAAGCGCCCCAAAAGCCTCTTAGCAACACAGACCCCGCCGCGCTGCCGCTGCCGCCGCTGCTCCCGCTGCCGCCGCCGCTGCCGCCGCCGCTGCCGCTGCCCGGCCCTGGCTGGAGACCTCGCACTGCACCCGGGAGCAGCCACTTCCCCAGCCCTCTGCCGCCGCCGCCGCCGCCGCCGCCGCCTCCTCCACTCCCCCCCCTTTATTACCCTTTGTGTCATCCTCCACAGCTCCCGGGAAGGCACTCAAAAGTGGGGGGCAGGAAAGGTAAGTGTGTCTGCGGGGGCTTCGTTGCCTTTCCCTGGCTCTGACTTTTACTCCGGGGCAACAGTAGCACCCAACCAACAGACGCAGTGGAGCTCCGGGGTGAGGAGGGGGTGGTGCTGGGGGGTGGGGGAGTGGAGGGGGGTGTCGTGGGGAGGGGTGTGCGGGGTGGGGGTGCCCATCCTGTCACCGGCGGAAGGGCACTTTTCTTTTTATTTGCTGTTGTCAGAAAAGTGGGTGCTCTTCCTCCAGCTCAACATCTGATTGTGTGTCTTGCTCCAGAGGGGGAGAATACAAAAACAACCCCCTCCTTCCTCCAATGAGGCGCCAGGAAAAGAGAAAGAGGGACACTTTCTGGATGTCACTTTAACAGAATCCTTTGGAGAGCTTTTTTTTTTCTCTCCCCCCACCCCCCTTCTCTTTGCCCAGGGAAAAAAGCTCCACTGCATTTGTTTCTGAGTGGGAAAATGTCGGGATCAGGACTGGATTGGAACTGCTTACCCGGTCGTAGACTTGAATGTTTGCCCCTTTTTGGTTCTGTGTGTGATTTGGATATGGACTGAAGTGTTGGAGCCGACTTGATTGGTTTTTGCTTTCGGGATTTAATTTTTTTTCTTTCTTTTTTTTTTCCTTCAGTGTTGTCTGACTTGCATGGGAAATTTCAAATTATTAGTTGATGGAGGCCTTTGGTTAGGTTTGACTTCCATGGTTGCAGGTTTTTTTTTTTTTTTGGCTAAATGCTTGTTTCCTCTCACAGCCTTTAAAGTTAAAAGCTTAAAATGCTTAAAGTTTAAATACCCTGTTATTGTCTCCCTTTACCTATGAATCTGATCGTTTATTTCTCTGAAGATGAGAATATTGGCGATCTCAGAAATAATCTGGGTATTTTCTTAGTCTTTGTATCTTATCTGCACAAGTAATCCCCATTGAAAACTTTGTTGTTCTGCCTTCATGGAAGGCCAAACCTCCATCAATAGTTTGCTGGATTGGTACCACTTTCAGTTTCAAGTGAATTATTTATTTACTGTTGTAAATTGAGATGAGCTTTTCTTTTCTTAGGGCTACTGAACCAAATTTCTCAAAAATACCTGTGAAAGGAGACAGATTTTTAATATTCATTTTCATGAGTCAAATCGTGGAGTTAAAGTTAGTAATTTCATTGTGATTAGATGCAAATTGAAAGATGAAACCAGATTAGGTTTATAGAATTATATCATGATCAAAATCACTATTCTGCTGTTCTTTTTCTACCTATTAGTGGATAGCTTTCAGATTCAGTACTGGCTTTTACTTCACAAGTGCTAGAAAGTATGTTTCTGATGTAGGCCTTTTGATAGGGTTTGCATTGCAGAGTGGTATTTTGTTTCATACATTTCTTTATCCTGTGCTTGAAGATGGATGCACACCTCTCTCTCTCTCTCTCTCTCTCTCTCTCTTTTCAAAATTTTCTTTAAAATGAATTGGTATCTCTGATTCCATAATTCATATCAACAAAATTATTCTTCTCTAAAGCAGCGATTTGTTATCAAACTAGCAGTATAAAAATAGCAATTTGATCAATTGGAAAGGGCTGAAGAACAACCTAGAAGGATATTTGACATGTTGTAGAACATAATGATACTTTTAATTTTTATTTTTCTCGATGATAAAAGCAAAAAGAATATAATTTAGTGACAGAAAAACATTGACATGTAGAAACTTGTTCTTTAAAACTTAATTACCAACTATGTGCGAAAGTAGACATTTATGCAGAAGGGAGAAATAAGCCGTATAGCTGTTTTAAAAATGGGTCTGTTCTAAATGTAAGAAATTTCTTACCTTGAGTTGAGGGAGAATTGGTGCACTTAAGCACTGTGTCAAATTCAGGTTTTCTCCCAACATCAATACTTGGACCCCAGGCCCACGCAGTATTTCTTGTCTACCTTAACACCTTAGCTATCTTAATGTAAGAGATAGAAGAACTTAGTGAAGAAATCAATTCTAAGTGAGAGCGTTGTGTTCATAATTGGCTTACTTGCCCAAAAGGCAGCTGAGGTAAAATTTTCAGTCTTTAGTGCCTTTACTTTGTTTCTGTTTTCCATTGAAAAGCATTCCTTGGTCTACCATCCTTTGAGTAATCCTTCATTCCTTGAATTTTATGTGTGTTACTTACAGAGAACTTTACATATGAAGATAATTTTAGGATTGTAGTTTTTAGCTAACTGGTGTCTTGGAGGTCACTTAACCCAACTCTTCATATTCCATAAATGCTGGAGTTCAGAGAGTTTGAAGAACTTGTTCAAGGTTCCAAGGTCTGTAAGTGCACAGACATGGATAAGACAGCTCAGGTCCCTTGACAGTCACACTCCATTTCCCTTTGTCAGAAAAGAAACTATTGGACACAGTGTTTGAGGATTTGTATGAAGGCATATTCTTCCAAGAATATTAAGATAAATAGGTTTAAAGCCATAATTTTGTCCAGTTAAAATGGTTTTTTAAGTGGTTCTTTTTTCCCTACTTGTGGATTATTATTATTCTGAGAATGATTTCAGCTTTCTCTATTATGGTTCATATACTTCCCGTTCATCAGTATTTCTTATTCTTATGTTAAGAACCAATAAGTGTAAAGAATGCATATATACATTTATAAATGTTTGTATGTGAATGAGTTAGTTACGGCTAACGATTTTGTGAACATTTATATAGTTCATAGCAGTTGTTTGGTATGTAGTAGGCCTTGCTATTTGTCGAAATCAATACTAGAGTTAGATGTTTTGAATTTATTTCTTTTCATAGGATTCCTTTCCTTTCCTCTTTTACATTTTTCCTACTGTGAATTTATTACTTGGTACTGTGATTTGTGTTTCTTTATCTTTACTGTGGCTCTCATTTTTACCAACAAATTAACTCCTACTCACTAATAATTCTTTTTAAGAAGTAAAAACATTTTCCCTCTAAACTTTGTATAGGATGCCATTTGACAACCTGATTTCATTTAAATAAGGGATGATAAAAAATTTCAATTTAAAATATATTAGCAAATGTTCAGGTTCTCTTAAATTTCATTTCAGTGAGTGACGGGTAAAATAGGTTGTTAGAATGGTTAGGCCGCTTTTACCAGCTCTATAAAGCAACTGTTACTTAGGTGACATGTTTCCCTGACTTTGTTTTTTTGGTCCTTACCCAGACAATTACCAACTTTCCAGTTTTCTATGGATATGAAGATTTACTTCTAGTCATCAGTGGGACCCCATGAAGTCAGCCAGAAAGCCTATGTCCAACTTATGTACCTTTGCAAACTTGTCTGGATTTTCAATGTATGTGAGAAACAGATGTACCTAGTTTTTCATTAAACATCTATTCAGCATCCACTCAGGCACTGCATTAGGCATCTAAAATATAAAGGTGGTCCCTATATTTTAATGTGGAAAGGATACCTAAATTGTATTTCACAAGTGTCATATCTTTATTTTGATGTTCTTGCCTAAATTAATTTTACATTAACATGGATACTGTTAGGTGGAAAAAAATGCATGTCTAAAAATCTTGCTGTATTTTATTAAAAAAAATATAAAGAAAACTTTTCCACTTAATACTGTATTCTGAGGATTTCTATTCTGTATGTAATTAATTTTAGACATGAAAGTAGTCTGGGCTTATCATTGCTGATGTTTTGTTGCTCCAGGTACTTTAAGATGACCAACACCATTAATTTTAAGTATTTTATTATTCTAAGAGTTCCCATATTCTCCAAACATAAAACTTTTTTTTTGAAAAGTTTATTTCTTTTACATTTTGCCTAACAGGCTATTTTTCAAGGTTCATTGGGAGACATTGTACCATTATCATTTTGAAATTTTAGTTATTTTCCACAGTAGTTTAAGCTGACAGTATGACTTCATTGACATGGAATCATTTTATTATACACTGTTTAGGGCTATTAGAAATATTAGTTTTTCTTCAAGATCCTCATAAGAAAATCTTCTAAATCAGTTAAATTTTAAATATTTCTTACATAGTATGATTTTTATATCGTAGTAAAATGAGTTGGAAGTTTTTTAGTAGATGCATATTTTGAAAGCAAAAAATACTAATTTGCTGCTTCTTAAGGCTTTTATATATAGTTTTAAATATATTAGAGTAAAATTTCTTTTGCTTGACTTTTAATGTATACATTTTAGGATAACATTGATACATAATTTATGGGGGTTTTTTGTTTGTTTTTGTTTTGGGGTCACACCCGGCGATGCACAGAGGTTACTCCTGGCTCATACACTCAGGAAATACTGGCGGTGCTCGGGAGACCATATGGGATGCTGGGAATCGAACCTGGGTGGCCTCATGCAAGGCAAATGCCCTACCCGCTGTGCTGTCACTCCAGCCCCTGATACATAATTTAAAAGGAGGATATCTCCTGCTGGTATAGTAGCTTATAAAGGTAAAGAGATTCTTGAGTGGACAATTCTGACATCTTCTCCATTCATTTTAAACTTCATACTTACCATTTATTAAGTTCCTAGTACTGTAATCAGTACATCATTCTTAGTTCTGCATTAATCCTGTAAATTTGTAACATTATCTTTCAAATTACAATGGAGAGACCTATTACTAACAAACAGCATTATGTCATTATAAAGCAGCAAGATATTACATCACAGTAAATTTGTGAACACTTTCCAATTCAAGATGCAACAACAAAGAATTTTTATGAGTCGATAAGGAGTTTGTCAAGCTTTAATAAAGTCATGGCCCCAGAATTGGAATAATAGATATTTTTTGTTTTGTTTTCTTTGGGGCCACACCCAAAGGTGCTTGGGATTTACTCCTGGCTTAGCACTCAGGGATCCTGGGGTGCTAAAGGGGAGCATATGTGGTGACATGTGCCCTGCAGACACCATACCCACTGTTGGTATGATTTAACCCTGGAATGTTTTTAATGTGCCTTTAAGTTCCTCATAATAATATTCTAGTTCTAAAAGAGCACCCTACCCACTGTATATCTCTCTAGCTCCACAAAGTTAATG